ATTACGTTTCCAGTTGTCCCACAGTTCTCTTAAGCTGTCTTCCTGTTTTTTAATAGTTTTTTCCTTTTGTTTTTCTGATTGGTTGATTTTTTCTACCCTGTCTTCTAATTCACTGATCCAGTCCTCAGCTTCCTCTACTCTGCTTTTTAAACCTTCCAATGTGTTTTTCATTTCTGATATGTCATTTTTTATCTCTTCTTGATGGTTTTTAATTTCCAATTGGCTTATTTTCAGTGTCTCTATGTCCTTACTCATGCTGTTCAGCTTCCTCAAGATCATGGCTCTGAATTCTAGCTCTGTTAACATGCTAATTGCTCCACATTGATGTCATATTCAGTGGAGGTCTCTTGCTCTTTCATTTGGCTTCTGTGTTTGTGTTTCACCATTTTGGTTATCACTGTGGTCTTTGGAGCCTGTCAAGTTTTCCCTGTGGGTGTTGGTGTTCTGCTGTTTGTGGCTCCCTCTCCTATGTTTAGATGAGTGAGGGAGGACCCACGTTAAACACCACTGTCAAGTCTTACTTTCCTGGTCAAAGTTGCTAGCCCAAGAAAGATACTGTTATCCTCTAGCTTTTTGCCTGGAGGCTAGCAGTCCAGGTTACTTGAACAGTTTTGGGTTGTCAGTTGATTGAAAAACTCCCTCAGGTGCTCAGCACAAGGGGCTTTCCGGAGGGTGGGGCAGATGCTGGTTGTTGATGAGCCTCAATTAGCACTTCAATGGCCCACAGGCTGAGGTTGGATCTCTGAGCCACGGGCTGCTGCCTCTCCCCAGAGCTCTGGGAAGGAGCAATATGGCCACCGTCCTGAGTGCCTGCCACTCAGCAAAAGCTCTGAGCGCCCTCCAATTCCCGAGTGTCCCCACACAGTTCCAGACCAGTCTGCCCTCCCTCTGCTGGAGCCCAAGGTGAGTGGCTGTGCCTGTTTTAGCCTCTGTCCTGGCTCTGCGCTGTGGGGCCGCCTGGGAGTGTAACCCACGGGCGCTGCTCCCAGCTAAGGCCGCTGCCGAGCTACCGACCCTGGGCTCCCAGCCCTGTCTCGCACCTTCGCAAGCCTACCAGGATCGAGTCAGTGTCCCTTGTTGTATGGTCCTCGCAAGCTGCTTTTCTGTTGCTTTTTCCCATCAATTTGTCTGTGTTATAGTTGTAATTCCAGTTTGGTTCTGGGAGACGGTCTGTGTAGCTCCGTTCACTCCGCCGCCATTTTTCCTACTCCCATGGATGTGCTTTGGCTAGTTACATTATGAGGTGGATATTCTGTGATTGCTTAGCTGAGTTAATAAAAGCAATGGTCAGAAAATATGATCCATGATCCTTCAAGATAAGAGTTGTAGCTCAGAGGTGACATGCAGACTGACTAGACTGTAAAGTCAGAATGTATTTCTGTGGGGCTGTGTTTCTCAGAAACAAAAGAGAAAAGGGACTGTTCTTATTTTGATGGGATTTACATAATATTCATCCTATTGAAGGACACTGCATTCCTGTTGCTGGCAACAACAGAAATACAGAGAGTAAGAAAACTGGACTACATTGCTAATCAGCATTCTGCTTTAAGAAGTCAGTCTACTGACATGGGAAGAGAGATATTGGTGAAAAGAGCACATTGACACCCCCGGCCCCCCAGCCCCGTGGCTCACGTAGGGGAGGAGCCTCTCTGTTATCTCCTCCTCCTCTTCCTCATTCTCCACACTGTGTGCAGATGGCCCCGGAGTGATTCAAGAGGAGCTGCCCTTCCTGAAGGTTTACATGACAGGGAACAGGCATGGTGGAAATTCTGAGGGGGTTTTGATACACGAATTAGTTCACAGATGAAAAATTCCGAGAAGCTCCCTCTGCAACATGGCAATCGTATGAATGTGACGGTTTTGGGTTCACATGGGGCAATTGTTTCTGCTGTGTTCAGTGGCCACCAGCTGGATTGTCAACCTCTTGGAAAAGGCACGCCGTTGCAGGAGGACAGGAGGGCACAGAGGAAATGGGTCACCACTATGGCAAATTAAAAAAAATAAAAACCAAAAACCTCGAAGAATGTTGGGATGTTCACTGAGTGGGTTGAGTTGCCTTTGGAGATAAAGGTGATCACACCCTGACTTATGCAAATAAAGCAAGAAGGCCAGTTACCGGTGGGGGCGAGACAGTGAGCCCGCACCAGCAATGAAGGGCTATACCCTTTCAGAACTGTCCTTCAATGACGGATGTCTCCGTTGTTCTTCAGGCCTAAGAAAAGATGACTCAGCTGTGTGCCTCAGTGAAAACCAAAATTAACAATGCATTTGAAATAATTAAGAAGGAAAGTAAGGGCCTGGCTAGTGTGGCTCAGTGCTTGAGCATTGACCCGTACACCAAGAGGTTGCCAGTTTGATTCCTGGTCAGGGCACATGCCCGGGTTGTGGGCCCAATCCCCAGTGGGGGGCATGTGGTAGGTGGCCAATTGATGTTCTCTCTCATCAATGTTTCTCTCTCTGTCTCAAATCAATAAAGAAAAAGAAAATTTTTTTTAAAGAAGGAACGTAGGCATAATTTTTTTTTTTTTTAATGGTGAGTCACCTGTTCCAGTCTGGTATATGGTCTGGAACTTACCACATGACTGCATCGTTTGCTTTGCTTGAGGATTTTGAATCATTTCTTAAATTCAGCAAACACACTTTATTTGAAGTCTTCACAACCTATTTTAAAAAGGCATTTTTTAGAGCAGTTTTTAAGTTTAGCTTGCAACTACATTAAGGAAAGTTGCAAAGATTGCACATAAACCCCCTTCACCCACACATACACAGCCTCTCCTCTTATCAGTATCACTGACCCAAATAGTAACTTTTTTTTTTTTTCCCCAAATTGAGGATGAACCTATATTGACACATAATAATACCCAAAGTCCATAGTTTACCTTAGGGTTAATTCTTGGTTGTACATTCTATGAATCTCAACAAATGTACAATGAAATATATATAGAGATAGATAGATAGATAGATAGATAGATAGATAGATAGATAGATATAGATATAGATATTTTATATCATACAGAGCACTTTCACTACCCTAAAAAATCCTCTGTGCCTCACCTCTTTTTCTCTTTTTCTCTTGCCCCGACCCACTCCGGGACACCACTGATCTTTTTATTGCCTCTATAGTTTTGCCTCTTTCAAAATGTCATATAGTTGGAATCATACAGGATGTAGCCTTTCAGATTGGCTTCTTTCATTTAGTAATATGTGTTTAAGTTTCCTTCACGTCTTTTCATAGTTCCATAGCTTATTTCTTTTTAGAACTAAATAAGTTTCCACAGTTTGTCCATTCACCTACTGGAGGACATCTTGGTTGCTTCCAGGTTTGGGGAATTATGAATAAAGCTGCTATAAACATCTGTGTGCAAGTATTTGTGTGGACATGTTTTAAACCGCGCTGGGTAAATACCAAGGCGAGTGATTGCTAGATCATATGGTGAGAACTGCCAGACTGTCTTCCAAAGTGAATACACAATTTTACATTCCCAAAAGCAACGTATGCAAGTTCCCATCTCTCCTCATCTTTACCAATATTTGGTGTTGTCTGTGTTTCAGATTTTGACATTCTAGTAGGTGTGTAATGATATCTCATGGCTGTTTTAATTTGCATCTCATTGATAACACATGATGTAGAGCATCTTTTCATATGTTATGTGTCTTCTGTTTATCGTCTTTGGCGAGGTATCTCTTAAGGTCCATTTTTAAAAATCTGATTGTTTTCTTCTTGTTCACTTTTAAGGGTTTTTTGTATATGTTGAATAAACAGACCCTTAGCAAATGCGTCTTTTGTAAATATTGGCTCTCAGTCTGTGGCTTGTCTTCTCATTCTCTTGACATTGTCTTTCACAGACAGAAATTTTTCCTAAAGTCCAGATTATCAATTATTTCTTTTGTGGATCATGCCTTTGGTGCTGTAACTATGATGCCACCTTGACATCCAAAGTCGTCTAGGTTGTGTCCTATGGTATCTTCTAGAACTTTTATAGTTGCATATTTTACATTTTGGCCTATATCCATTTTGAGTTAATATTTGAGACATGTATAGGGTTTGTGTCCAGATTTACTTATTTATTTTTTGCATGTGGATGTCCAGTTGTTCTAGCACTGTTTGTTAAAAAAACCCACAAAACTGTCTAGCTCCACTGTGTTGCCTTCACTCCTTTGTCAAAGATCCGTTGATTATATTAATGTGGGTATGTTTATGGGCTTCCTGTTGTGTTATATTGATCTTTGTGTGCATTCTTTTGCTAATACTTCACTGTCTTGATTCCTGGAGATGGAGTGTAGATCTTGGAATCAGGTAGTATTAGTCCTCCAACCTTGTTTTTCCTCTTTGAACACTGTGTTAGCAATTGTGGGTCATAAATGCATAGAATTGGTGGTGGGAATATCTACACTTAGTTTGATTTATAAATGATGTCACAAAATAATACGCTAGAGACTTATAAAATGATATCGCTTACCAAGATGCCTGCCTCTCAGGAAATTTTTGAATCATTGCATTTTAGATTCTTGGAGTAGAATAGGTAAAATATCAAAACAGTCACTTGGGTAGCAATTGACAGACTAGAACAAATGGTAAACATGTATCCAAGGGCTCTTTAGATGATTAAAATCACATGACTTATTTCCTCAAAGACAAATTACACAGAGATTATAAGTGATAGATCGATTGATAGATCGATAGATACGTAGATAGATACATAGACATTAAAATGGCAATATATGTTCTAAATAGAAAAACTAGTGACGTTTTTAAAATGTATTGATCAGTAAGCCAAACATTGTCTTAAATTACTTCTAGTCACTGAAACCACACAGTGAGTTATGCTGTATTATTTCACTTTGCACGTGAGTCTCAGAGATGTGAGGTGATTTGTCCACGCAGAACTGAGATTCAAATTAGGTGTATTTGGCTCTACAGCCCACTTTCTTTCCACTACTTCATTTGCTTTATCAAATGAGGAATGATTTTCACTGAATTTTTGTGTTTTGTTTACTAGCTCACTGTATATGTCCAGCCAGAGCAAAAGCACACAGCTGAATATGCTGCAAACATAACCAAAATTGTGTTTGATTATTATGAAGAATACTTTGCTATGGATTATGCTCTTCCTAAATTAGGTGAGAAGTGTTCTTTTTTAAATTTTCTTATAATTTTGCTTTTGTTTTTAGCTACGTTAACTCACTTCCTCCAGTTTTATCATCCTTAGCTAATACTCATCCATAGGTCATTTTATTGTATGTCTACAATGTGTGTCTAATATTTAGTAGATGTGGGAAGATCCATTCTGGACTCCTCCAAGAATGTCTATACTGTGTTCTTACCTGATGAATATATAGTCTTTTATCTTAAAATAAAAATGAAAGTACTGTAGCCCAGCTGGTGTGGCTTGGTGGTTGAGCATCAACCCATGCACCAAAAAGTTGCCAGTTCAATTCCTGGTCAGGGCACATGCCCAAGTTGTGTGTCCAATCCCCAGTGGGGGGCATGCAGGAGGCGGCCAATCGATGTTCTCTCTTATCGATGTTTCCATCTTTCTCTCCCTCCCCCTTCCTCTCCCTCTAAAATCAATAAAAAAAGAAAAATTAGATGACTGTATTACAGAAAATTACATGATGAAGCCAGAAATGGCAGCCTAGATCAACTGATTTCAAAATCAGTACCCATCCTAATAGCTTACATCTTCTCCCTACCACCAATGAGTTGGGAAATAAGAAGAATAACATGCTGTCAAAGTCCCGTGTGCCTCTGGTCTTTCTACTGTGGGACAAGATGAATTCTAAATCCTCCAGCAACTTAAATGAAACATGGGGCCCCTTTCATAAATACTTTTTTAAAAATGGGGGTGGTGGTTTTATCTTTAAAATAAAAATAGAGTTATGTCAATATGATACTTCTGGCAATAGCAGAAATTCATTTTTAGTAAGCTTGAAGAGTATTAGCAAAGACTTTAAATGGAACACCCATATCCATGCCCGTAGAGATGAAAAAAGGTGACAAGAGAACAGCAACCAACAATTGACTTCTCTGTTTCCGTTTCTGCCCGGCCTTTGATATCATTCTTCACGCAAAGCAACTGGAACCCCAACTTCTCGACTCGGAATGGCTGTGCTCTAAGCAAGTTTGTAGGTGCCTCAGGTTCTCTTGTAGCAGTGGATTCGATTTCTTTGTTGATTGCTTAGCAACTACTATCAATAGAGAAGGAGACAGGAAGAGAAACAACTTTTCATCAAAATCAGAATAACGTTTAATGAAATGTTCAGCACATCAATTTAAAAGTCTTTTTTCCTTCTTTATCTCCCTGTACCAGGAAGAAAACCTGGGAAGTGGAGATCTCACAAATTTGTTTCTGTCTTCTCATCGCTTTGTTCTTTCCTCTCCACAACCACTACTGATACTGCTATTTCAACTACTACAACTGTTACAACCACCACCACCACAACCACAACCACCGCCGCTGTTTCTATTCTGCACTGCTACAGTGACTACTACTGCTGCAACTGTTATTACCACTATAGCTACAGTAACAACTGCTACAACTGCTATGAGAACTACTAGCACAACCACTACTTCTGCAACTACTACAACTTCTCTTCCTCCTTGTCTTCCTCCTCCTTCTTTATATTTCTATGTGCATTTCAACTCTTTCAGAATTGACTCTATGTTAGACTTTCCTTAGAAATGACTTCTGCATTTAGTATACTCCTCCAAATTAAAGTATACTCCATAATACTATGGAAAATGTTAGCCCTTGTGGGGAGTACTTCTCCACTGTTTAAGTGGTATTCTTCTGAAAAACAAAACAAAAAACAAACTTAGGGATGAAGGTAACATGAAAGGAAACTACAGCTATAATCTTGACCTTCATCTGAGATATAGCCATTTCTATCCTTCTATAAAAAGCTTTAAAAATCTTTATTTTAACCAGAAAAGGCCTTTCTTATATGTTAGATGAAATTTTAATTTATTTTTATTTATGTGCCTCATTTAGATTCTATGTCATGATACAGAAATTATATTCCTATTATAGTTCATTAACTGGAGAATTTGGTCCAGTAATCAAGCTGCTTATTTCCTGTTTGGGGATTTAACACAGAACTGATCAACACTGCCTCTTCCTATCAGGCAGTACGTCTAAGATGATGGACCCAGCAAAAATAAGGGCTATGTATTTATGATAGAATTAAATATCTTGAACTTGAAAGGGACTTTAAAGAGAATATGGTCAATTCCATCTTGATCCAGCTAATTTAATACATACAAATGGATGGTAAGTTACTCCGTGTGTAGGGAATCGGGTTGACCTCAAATTGTAGAGTTAGGGAAAAAGTAGAATTTATATTTTCTAATATTCTGTGACCTCAGATACACGGGTATTTTTGTGCACTTGGAAGCTCTGGACTTCTAAGTCAGCCCATATCTGAAAACTTTATTCCTCAATTTTTCACAATTTATTCCCCAAACAGATACTTTGTGTCATCTAAGTGAAAATTATTTATAAAGCTAATAAAAATGAAGTACAGAGAGAAACAAAAGACACAGAATTATAGAGGACTTGAAAAGAGCATCGCCCTTAGTAAAAATGGGTCATTAGTAAAATTGCCATTAAAAAACAAGACACATTGATATCTGGAGCCAACAGGAAAAGGGCCATGGAAATTTTGAGTGCATGAAGATTGAAAAGTTATTTTTAGATTTTTAAAAATACATTCACCCAAAGAACTGGAGTTGTTAAGAAATGTTATGAACAAATGGAAAGAATGTATTTCTCTCTGGGCTCTTTCTTTTTCCATAGATAAGATCGCTATTCCAGACTTCGGCACTGGGGCCATGGAGAACTGGGGGCTCATCACGTACAGGGAAAATAACCTGCTTTATGACCCCGAGGAGTCAGCCTCATCAAACAAGCAGAGGGTGGCCACTGTGGTTGCCCATGAACTTGTGCATCAGGTATAGAATCTTAGCATCAGATTAGCTCATTTTAAAACATGGTTTAGACCACATCAATAATTGAAATAAGTTATAACTTAGCAAATTAAAAAATAGCCAACTCAGAAAATCCTGCTTGAAAGTCTTTCTTTTATTTATTTTTTAAATCCTCACCCGAGGATACTTTTTTCCATTTTTATCTTCAGATAGAATGGGGGGAGAGAGAGGGAGAAAGAGAGAGAGACATCGATGTAAAAGAGACACAGCAATTGGCTGCCTCCCTCACAACCCTGACCAGGGCTAAGGACTGAACCACAACCGAGGTACGTGCCCTTGACTGGAATCAAACCTGTGACTCTTTGGTCCACAGTCCAGTGCTCTACCACTGAGCCAAACCAGCCAGGGCTATAAGTCTTCCTTTTTTTTTTTTTTGATATTTTGTTCAGATAGAGTGGGGGAGAGAGAGAGAGAAACATCGACATGAAAGGGACACATCAAGTGGTTGCCACCCTCACAACCCAATCACGGCCGGGGACAAACTGCAACCGAGGTACATGCCCTTAGCGGAAACCGAACCCGGGTCTCTCTGGACCGCAGGCCGACGCTCTAACCGCTGAGCCAAACCGGCCAGGGCTATAAGTCTTTCTTAGTGAAGATAAATATTTTACCATAGAGAAACTTTTAAGATACATTGTTTTGCCTTTAGTAAATACACAAGAGGCCTTCCTGTAACTGAAAATATTTCCATATTTTAATAAAGGCAAGAAACTAAGGACAATTTAAGATCATTTTAAAACCAGGTGCTCAGAACACCTCCCATTTCTGTGTCAAGTGATAAAATTTACATGAACAAACAAATGTATTGAAATTTTCTAGGCCTCTCTACCAAAGGCATGAGAAGTTAACGCCCACTTTGTTGCTTGTGATTTCAGTGGTTTGGAAATGCTGTGACCATGGAATGGTGGGAAGATCTGTGGCTAAATGAAGGCTTCGCTTCCTTCTTTGAGTTCCTGGGAGTAAACCGTGCAGAACAAGGATGGCAAATGGTGAGTCCTACACACCTAAGCTCCAAATCTATATTTTTCTTATGTAAAACAGATTGAAATGTTTGGACTATGATCCTGAGTCCGGGGTCCAGTGGAGTGGTCAGCTGGGAATCCTATTGTGAGAAAGGGGTGGAGCCAACTGGCTGTACTGAACTGTACCCTGCCCAGAGCCTTTGCCCAGGTCCTAGAGGGCAACTAACCACCAGGATCCGAGGATATCCTTTGATAGAGTCACTCAAGAACGTGTGTCAAGGCAGGAAAAAGAAATAGCTAGCGCAGACAATGCCAACTCTGTGTTCAAAAAAGTGTCTGGAGTATTAACCCTTTGAAAAATGTCTGAGCCGCCCTGGCCAGTTTGGCTCAGCCGTTGAGCGTCGGCCTGCAGACCAGAGAGTCTCGGGTTCGGTTCCCGCTAGGGACACATACCACTCTCTCTCTCTCTCTCATACACACACACACACACACAAATGTCTGAGCCTAATTTTGTAAATGACTTTCCTTACACGGGTTCCTGAAATAGTGTGGTAAAGAGGTAAGAGCATACACTTAGTAGCTCAACTCAAGTTCAAATTCTAGATGCATCATTTCTTTAATGCTTTACAGCGAATATGACCTTGAGCAAGTTGCATATCCTCTCTGAGTCAGTTCTCTCCACTGTGAAAGAGCACTGCTCTCTGCCTCGTGAGTGTAAAAGCTCCCAAACTGTACGTGTAATTACTACTATCTTACTGTGTGCCACTGTGGGGCCTGCAACAGGCGCTTCTATGAACTCGACAGATATTTCTTTCCAAAAAGCTGGATCTGTTTGTATTTCTAGTTAGTGAAAGTATTCTCGTCTGTTTGTATATATGAGAGTAAAAGTGTGTAGATGTGTGAACGCAGAGCATTACAGCTGTGTATTGTGTAGACTACTGCCCTCTACTGGACAGAATAAAAGGACACTATTAAATGCTTGAAGCCCTTTCAGTTTCCACAACCTACTAAAAAAAGTGAAAAAATTAATTTGTAACAATCGTTTCTTTACGAATTAACCTACATCAAGGTTTTTAACCATGAAACTGTTGACATTTGGAGCCAGATAATTCTTCACTGTGGCCTGTCATCCTGTGTCTTGTATTTAGCAGCTCCTTGGGTCTCTTTCTACAATATGTGCTACGTGCCAGGAACCCTCCCACTCCAGTTGTGAAACCAAAAATGTCTTCTCATATTTGTAGATGTCCCCTGGGGGACAAAAATGTAATCTCCTCATTGAGAACTACTCATCTATGCTGATAATTGCTGATTTTGTAATGTATTGAAATTAAGCTATATAAATGGGGAAAAAAGTATTTTATTTTCTGTAAAGTAACCTGATGTCCTTCCTATATCAAAATACTATAAAAAAAGTATAATGTTTTAATATTGTTATATACAGTCTATAATACTTTAACATTCCAATTTCAGTGTTCTAAAAACACCAATTAAATTCCAGAAGGATTTTGTATGCAGTTTTTAAATGAAATGTAATCACATGATTGAACTCATTCGTTCATCAACCAGTCATTCATTCCTGATTCAGTTAACACTATAAAGAACCCAAAAGCTGAATAAAAAATTTCTGCCCTAAGGAGTTCCCAAATTAGTGTCCTGTGGGTAGAGAGGACGATAAATAAAGATGCATCATAAGAGAGCCTGGTTAAGTACCACAGGGATGGAGCCTCACTTCACAGGTGACAATGTGATGCTCAGGAAGGTAATACAACTTCCCGTTGTCACACAGACAATTGGTAGCACAACTAGACCAGAGTAAAATTTTATGAAACTGAGAACAAGGATTCTGTCTACTTTCCTAAATGTTTTACATGGACCGAAAAAATTAAAGTCTAAGTCACAGTGACCTTGACTGGCAGTCATCACTCTAATATTCTGTGACCTTGGGTAGAAATATATTTCTGTGTACTTGGAAGCTTTGTACTTCTAAATCCGCATCTGAAAACGTTATTCTCTTAATTCCTCACAGTTTACCTTGATTGAAATTGTACCTTGCCTATTATAAAAAAGGAAATCACAAAATCCGAAAATATAAACTAACATTTTTTACAAAATATTTTTTCTTTATTGATTTTAGACAGACAGGGAGGGAGAGGGAGAGAGAGATAGAAACATTGATGAGCGAGAACATTGATTGGCCGCCTCCTGCATGCCCCCCACTAGGGACTGGGCCCACAACTTGGGCATGTGCCCTGACCAGGAATCAAACTGGTGACCTCCTGGTGCATTGGTTGACGCTCAGCCACTGAGCCACACCAGCCGGGCTAAACTAATATTTTTAATTCAGTAAGACCAATAAAGCTTTTGATTTTTTATTAGTAGTGATTGAACCAAGTTATATTTTAGAATCTAATTGATTAAGAAGCAAAATAATATGCCCTGGCCGGTTTTCTCAGTGGTTAGTGCATCAGCCTGCGGACCAGAGAGTCCTAGGTTTGGTTCCTGCAAAGGGCACGTACCTTGGTTGCAGTTTGTCCCCGGCCTTGGTTGGGGTCGTGTGGGTGGCAGCCAGTCAATGTGTCTCTCACATCAATGTTTCTCTCTCTTCCCCCTTCTCTCCCTCCTGCTTTATCTGAAGATAAATGCAAAAATGCCCTCGCGTAAGGATATAAAAAAGAAATCAAAATAATAATAGCAGCTGTGATAGGTTTACCCTCTATGCCAGGTACTGTGCCAACTGCATACCGTACATTAGTGCATTGAATCGGCCGCACAATTCTAAAAGCAATGCCATCATTAAACAGGCAGGAGAACTTGTTTAAACCTACATATCGAGAAAATGGAAAAACTGAGCTTTGAACCAAGGAAGTCTGACCATAGGGCTAGTCCACTCAACAACTCCATTTTGGTGAGAAAACAGGACTGGAATGAGAAGATGATTGTTGATTAGAACTAAAGCACAAGTTAATGTTTTCTTCAATTAATTACATATCATCCAAATTCCAATGATTAGTTGACAAAACATTTTTTTAAAACCCAAACATCAATTTTTGGTTAACATACTTCCTCCTTTCTTAGAACAAACCTGTGAGGCGATAGCATCCTTCCCATTGCACAGATATGGAAATAGGGCTTAAAAAGTTCAGCCCATGCCGCAGGTCACACGGAAGTAAGAGAAACAGAATTCACAGATGCTTATTATGTCTTCTTGGCAATATAGAGGCAAAGTCAAAGGAGGTATAAACAGGAGAAGGTAATAAGATCAGTATAGATCAACTAGTGTAAAATATGATTAATTTGAACACCTGATGCTTGTTTTAAATAATTTGAGTCATTTATATTCATTTCCTCCAATTTGTGTTATATACATGTTATGTTGAAATAGGAAGCAGTGTAAATAAAATACTAAATTTTGTTGGTTCATTCTGTCATTTTAGCGGGACCAGATGTTACTTGAAGATGTACTACCTGTCCAAGGAGATGATTCTTTGATATCTTCACACCCAATTGTTGTCACCGTCTCAAATCCTGATGAAATAACATCTGCTTTTGATGGAATATCCTACAGCAAGGTGGGTAAAATACGGCCTTGTTCCTAATATCTTCCTGCTTAGTGACTTTTCTTTTAGTAAATGCCTAAAAATGATGGTAAGATGGTTAGACTATGTGAACGGGCTTTAGAAAATTAAACTTATTCTGAGTGCTGACTATTCAATAACTTGTACTCTTCAATGAAACCGATCAATGCCGATCATTGTCTTGGGATTTTGAATCAGATTTTAAAAAATTTCTCTTTCCACTTTTGTTTATAACAGCTCTCTTTCTGATAATTGAATATTTACACTTTAAGCATCAAACTTTACATAGTTTTATTTGACTTTTTAAAAGGCAGAAAATCGCCCTGGCCGGTTTGGCTCAGCGGTTAGAGCGTCGGCCTGCGGTCCTGAGAGACCCGGGTTCGGTTCCCGCTAAGGGCGCATACCTCGGTTGCAGTTTGTCCCCGGCCCTGGTCGGTTGCGCGGGTGGCAGCCACTCGATGTGTCCCTTTCACATCGATGTTTCTCTCTCTCTCTGTTCCTCTCTCTCCCTCCCACTCTACCTGAACAAAAAATGGAAAAATGTCCTCGGGTGAGGATAAAAAAAAAAAAAAAAAAAGGCAGAAAATCTTCTTTTGCCCATGTGGTCAATGCGAAATGCCATATCTGTGGACACCTTTTCTAATAGAGTCCTTTAGTGTTTCTAATAAGTATATAAACCCAACTCAGTGTGGAGGAATTACTTTTATCCATGTTTAGATAAAACTTAATGATGACTTTGTTAACATGTAAATAGGGCAGTTTTATCCATTATAATTTTATGAAAAGTGGCTGAAAAAAATCTGTAGTGACCCAAAGTTTTATGTTACCCATTTTCCCCAGATGTCCTGTAACTTCTCCTCTAAACATATTCATACCTGAATACAGCATGATTTTGTCATTTTCCATCTCCTTAGAGTTTACCTTCTATGTTAAGTTGCCCGAATGCCACTGAAAATGAATATATTGTGTTATTCTGAGTGATATCTAAAGTTTTCTATAAGACAAAATATTATAATTACTAAAGTGTATATTAGATACAATTGACTTGAGTAAAAGAAAAAACCTTCTATATACTAGTATTTGAAATGTATAGCATCATCTTTTTTTGTCTTTTCCTCTCATATTATTCCTACGGCATTTTTCAGGCTTCTTTTACTGAGCTTTCTTGCACACTGTCAGTGATTGTTTTTCACCTTTCTGTTTAAATGGAAGTTTACAATCCGGAGTATATTTAAAAAGTTTTTTTTTCCTTTACTGATTTTAAGAGAGAGAAGGAGGGAGAGGGAGAGACAGATAGAAACATCAATGAGAGAGACCACTGATCAGCCACCTTTGGCCTCCAACATGCCCTCCACCCTGGGGATTGGGCCGACAACCTGGGCATGTACCCTGACCGGGAATCAAACCAGCGACCTCTTGGTGCATGGGTCAATGTTCAGCTACTGAGCACACTGGCTGGGCCAGAGTATATTCTCGTACTGTGCAGCTGTAAGAAAGAAAGATCTCTTATCCTTTGAGATGACAGGAGGGACCTGGAGAGTATTATCCTAAGCGAAACAAGCCAAACAGAGAAAGACAAATATCACATGATATGATATCACTTATTTGTGGAATATAATGAACATAACAGTCTGAGGAACAAGATATACCCAGAGATGTGGAAGTAGGGTACAGACTGACAACCCTCAGAAAAGGGGGTGGTGGGAGGGAAGAGATAAACCACAGAACTTATATGCATGTACGCATAACCGATGGACACGAACAACAAAGCTTGGAACGGGGTGGGGGACATGGGGAGGAGGGTACCAATGGGAAAAAAAGGAGAAACATCTGTAACAAAAATAAATTAATAATAATAATAAAAAAAGAAAAACATTGCCCAATAATAAAGAGATCGATTGAAAAAGAAAAAAAAGAAAGAGAAAGTTTATATTTATTGAATCAGTTTTTTCCTGAGTCCTGAATACGCCATGGGTTTAAAATAGGTCAGAAATAGATTTTCCTAATTATTCTATGTACAAAAATAATTTATAGTACTCAGTAAATTATAGTAAAAATTACTAACTTTAATGTCTTTCTGGTCAGTTACTTGAAAATTGATTTAAAATTCTATTAATAGGAAACTTTAGTGCCAACATTGTAACATGTGGAAAGAATGTAGACAGCAGATTCTTCAGACTAAAGAAATCCCAATGAGATAAACCACTTTGGAAGGGAAGGATTTGATGTCTAAATCGTATATCTATATTAAACGATTTGACCAGACAATTTCTCAAATATCTACTTCACTCTGTTAAATATAATTCTTTTTCAAGTATTTAAATATACATTATAAGTCGCCAAAATTATATCCTGAAACTGTTTTTCTTATTCATGAAAGAACATTTTTCTAAAAATTTCTCTCCTCTTTCATTAAAAAAAGCCCCCTCTGCTGGTTCATTTTGTGAAGTACAATAATTAGCTGAACCTCAAGTCACTGAAATGCTGGCCATTTTATCAATTTCGATTTCTCCTTTCCTTTAAGTTATTTTAGAAGCACAGATAAAGGGGGTGTGCCAAGTTGAATTTTTACCCTAAAGTCAAAAGGCTATAACCATATAATTTAGCAGCAGCATCTTTAAGAAATCTCATAAATATGATCATGAAATACTAGTCACGATAATAATTACTGATATTTGTCCACTATGTATCTTTTATTAGTTTACTTTCTTGTTCTTTTTCATCATAGGGAGCTTCCATTTTGAGAATGATTGAAGACTGGATGACACCAGAGAAATTTCAAAAAGGATGCCAGGTACAATTTATTATTTTTAATGATATTAAAAGTAAACTACATTGATATGTGGATGATGAATGTTAAGATATGTGATTAATTAAGGGCAATTCCCTTTTTACTTTAACTTTCATTAGTCAGGGATAGATAACATTGCAAAACATTAAAAGTGATTACCATGTGGCAGATGTTTCATGGAGCATTTTAAACATATTACTTCTTTGGTCGGTAGCAACATGATATAAAAATATAAACCTATCTATTAAAGTCTTCTCTTAGAGCCCTGGCCGGTTTGGCTCAGCAGTTGGAGCATCGGCCTGCGGACCAGAGAGTCCTGGGTTCGGTTCCTGCTAGGGGCACGTACCAAAAAAATAAATAAAAATAAATAAATCTTCTCTTGGAGATTCTAGAAAGACCTTTTCCTTATTCCTGGATTTGAAAATGACTAACATAAACATTCTTGTTATGATGGAGTCAGTGAATGAAAAGCACCTGCTTCCTTTTGAAAATAGAAATGCCAATAAACTTTCTAAAGCATTTTGTGTATCCCACTTAAGCTTATTACTCTCATTAGATGTTTCGGTTTCATTTTGTTCTTCCAGCAGACTCGAAGCCAATTCTCTCAGGGTGGTATATTGCCAAAGTAGCTACGATGTGTCCGTAGTCCTATCTGCAGGCTGGTCCCAGTGCAGCCTAGAGATGGAACTGTCTTCCTAGTGTTTGCCTTCTGCCTCCATCCTCCCTACTCCGACATCCCAGGTGGTTGGGCGGAGCAGTGCTGTTGGTGCCCAGCCCACAAAGCAGAACACAGCTCCGCACAATGGTCCTGCTAGCCTTCCCACAGAGCATCAGCACAGTGACTTCCCAAACAGGGCCTGCCCACCATTCTGTACCTCTCGCTGCCACCACGTCTGCTTATGTGGCATGTAGTACTTTCTCCACTACCTCAAAAGGAAATGGTCTTCTTCTGCCCAGCACAGTACTAAAAGTCCCAGATAACTATTAAGGTAAGAAGTAAGACCAGGATTTAGGAAATATTCAGGGAGCACATCAGTATCTTCTTCTCCTTCTATCCTATGAATAATGTACTCTGTATAGACAGTAGGTAGAGGGAGAGAAGCCATGTGCTTGTTCTTACATGTGCATTAAAACATCTTTCGTCAGCTTCAAACTCAGATTCCACCCTGTTTTCTCTCACTGTCACCATCTTTAGTGAGGAACTCTGCCATCCGTATCTTTGCATATACTCCAGCGCCTAATAGAACGCACCACATGTTAGGAGATCCCCAACACGTTTCTTGAATGAATGAGTGAATAGTCTATAATAAATAACATAGACTATAGAAATAAACAGACAATTAGTTTTTAAACATTAAGTTAAAATTCTATTTGCATACTTTTCATTTTAAATTAAACTAGTAAAGAACACATTCTTGGGTTCTTCAAAGGTGACTTTAAATTACATGCTTTTCCATATTTAACTGTTTTAGGAAAATACCAAAAGAGTCTTTAAAGGTGAGTTGCTATTCTAACAATTCAGTGACACTATTGTATTTTCTGTAGCCCAGTATCAGTGGTATAACTAATTAAAAACCCTGTCCTAACACTAATATTTTTCAAGCTAAAACTCTGCCTTCACTCTAACAGTAATTATAGATGGTGCCAAAAGCTGAACTAGAAAGAAGAGATCATAATTTTTTATACTATTATAGTGCTAGGGAGCAAATTTGCAATAAAAATGCAAAACATGAGCTGTTTTTCTTCAATCTTCAAACACTAGCTAATATTTGAAATGAGTATATAATCAATATAGGCCACACTCAATAATCCTCAATAAGCTCTTAAACCAGTTGGAACATTCCTTCACGTAGTTCAATGATCTAAACAGAGTCCCTCATTGAGTTATCACAATCTGTGACATTGTTCAAGACTCTCCCTTGCAAATACTAACTTTATGCCCAAAGTTACTATTAGCTAACTGGGTGTGGCACTGACTTTGGGGATGGCCAACTGTCTGTTCTCTTTCATGTTCTTCACCTTTCCCCGAGCCTAACTTAGACAACACAGCAAGTGAGGGGAAATAAGAACAAAAACTGGAAAATCTTTAAGGCTGTGCTCGTACATAAAAAAAAAAAGCATTATAGATAATGAGACATTCATACCAGTATATGGTCATGAAATAAAAGCTGAGAAATATATCTGCCTTTTCTTTTTCTCATGGTTATCAGTAGTATCCCTGAGATGATAGGAATAGCTCAGATGAAAAATGTCCATTCCCTTCTGCGATCCTAGTAATAGAAACATTGTCCCTTTCCTTTTGTGTTCACTGGTACCAACTAATGAGGGACTATTACTGGTTGACTTAGGTCATCATGAAATTTAGACTGGAATTGTGATTTTTCAAGGTGAAGAAATAGAACATTCAGAAGTACAAATCTAGATTAAATAAAATGGGTACCTTTTTTTTTACATTTAATATTATTTTGTATTAGTTTCAGGTATGCAGCATAGTGGTTAGACAATCATGTAGTTTACAAACTGCTCTTTCTGATATTTCCAGTACCCATCAGATACCATTCATAGTTCTTACAATATTATTGACTATATTCCCTATGCTGTACTTTACATCTCTGTGACTATTTTGTAACTACCAATTTGTACTTCTTAATTCCTTCAGCTTTTTCTCCCAGTTCCCCCAAACCTCATCCCCTCTGACAACCATCAGTCTGTTCTCTGTGTCTGTGAGTCTGTTTCAACTTTGTTCATTTATTTTGTTCTTTAGATTCCACATATAAGTGAAATCACATAGTATTTGTCTTTCTCCAAATGACTTATTTCACTTAACATAATACCTTCTAGGTTCATCCATACTGTCATAAACAGCAGGAGTTCATTTTTTATGGCTGAGTAATATTTTATTGTATATATGTACCACAGATTTTTTATTCACTCATCTATCGATAGACATTTGGTTTGCTTCCATATCTTGGCTATTGTCAATGAATATAGGGTTACATATATTCTTTAGAATTAGTGTTTGGGGTTTTTTCAGATATATACCCAAAAGTGGAATTGCTGGGTCATAAGGCAATTCCATTTTTAATTTTTTGAGGAATTTCCATACTGTTTTCCATAGTGTCTGCACCAATCTGCATTCCCACCAACAGTGCACTAGGGTTTTCTTTTTCTACATTCCCGCCAACACTTGTTTGTTGATTTACCGATTATAGCCATTCAGACAGGTGTGACGTGCTATCTCACAGTGCTTTTAATTTGCATTTTTCTGATGATTAGTGATGTTGAGCATCTTTAGCCATCTGTATGACTAAAATGGGTACCTTTAATATACTGTTTGTATAAATGTCCATTTAGCCTCTAGTTCAGTAGAAGCAAGAAAGTGCAATTAAAAAAATTAATAGCTCTGGCTGGGTAGTTTAGTTGGTTAGAACATTGTCCTGATAGGACAAGGTGAAGGTTCTATCCCTGCTTGGGGCCTGTAAAGAAGTAATCAATGAATACATAAATAAATGCAACAACAAATCAACGTTTCTCCCTCTCTTTCTCTCTCTAAAATCAATTAAAAAAAATAAAACATAACAATAACTGTAGTGACAAAAACCCCACAAATGGGTCCAGGATTCAGAATTTTTTTTCAGGTAATCTCAGGCAAATCTGTTCACCCCTTTATGCCCCAGTTTCCTTCACTACCCCCCAAATGTAGGAGCTGTGTTAAATAATATTTAAGGTCCCTTCCAGTTCCAAGGTTGCTCATTTCTAAGCTTAAGACATTGTGAAAACACTAACAAACTCCTCTAAATTAATTTTAAGAAGTTACTGTTCACTAGAACTTGTCATTAATAGGTATCTATGGTTATATTTACTACTATTCCAAGTATCCATTGATTTTATTATGATAAAATGATTTGTGCAAGCTCTGGAATGAATACCTGAAATTGACACAGAGTACGTGCCCGTGGTTTCTTCTCCCTTCCTCGCCTGCCCTCCAGTGGCCGTGCAGACCGGAAGAGGACATCTGAAGGCCAAATTCCAAGCTGGCCTCCGCCCGTTCCGGCTTCAGGGAGCAGTCCCGCTAATATGGTTTTATCTCTCTGTGCCTGAAAAGAAAAGGAATTTAGAACATAATGTGACGTAGGTGCAGTACCTCCTGAAAATGAAAGCAATTTAGAGTGAAAATTAAATGTGCCAAGTCAACCACTAGTTATTTTCTTTGCGGGCTCAGAGAATATTTAAGAAGCTTCTGCTTCTATCAAAGACTTCCACATTATAAATGTCACTAGAGAGTGACAGAGGCGTGATACTGTGCAAGCTTGGCAGGTTTCCTGGAGAACCACAAGGGGTGCTCAGTGATGAGATTAGGAGAAGGCAGGGAATTTTCCCTTGGGATAAGTCACATTACATCTGAAAACTCATATGCATATCTATTGTAAATAGAATTGCCTTCTAGTTAAAAATTTCTGTTTTAAAAATAGTTGAAAAGTAAAGGCATTCTTTAAAGTGAATAATTCCCCCGATTTATTCACCACCACCATCACCACCATTATTCAAAGGTTGTATATTCATTTCTTTAGACCAGGGGTCTGTAAACTGCCTGCAGGCAAAATCGGTCCAGCATTCATTTTTGTAAGGTCTGCAAACAAAATTATTTCTAAAATTTTAAATGGCCGAAAAAAACCTAAAGAAGATTATTTCATGCACACGAAAGTGATGTGGAACTCCAATATCAGTGTGCACAAATAAGGTTTACTGGGAGACAGCCATGCTCATTCACTTACATATCACTTCTGGCTGCTTCTCTGCTATGGAGGCAGAGTTGAGTAGTTGCAACAGAGATTGTATGGCCTACAATGCATAAATCCTTGGTATATAGCTTTTTATAGAAAAAGTTTGCAGAGCCTTGGCTTAGAGTCAAGTTCATTTGTTTTATGTTTGCATATTACCTCAATCACCTGTGTGTGTGATGGGGTCATATAGTGTCTGAGATGAGAAAACACCACTTTAAATGAAGGTAGGGGATGCAGCCAGTAGCGGACAGTTTAACATCACTAAATAAGGATCGTAGAAATATGGATCACTCTTCACAGTGAATCATAAATGCTATGGATAGCTGTTGGCTGACTTCACTCCCCTTAAGTATGTTATGTTCCTTGTCCTGAAAAGTGAAACTCTTTCTCTCTGTTGTCCATAATTCCATTAGACTAAAAAACAAACAAACAAACAAACAAACAAACAAACTATATCATTAATAAGAAAAAAATATTCCTTATGCTTTCCAAATAAGTTATTGTTTATACAGCATTTTTATAGATTAGAAATGTTTTTCATACTGTATTTGCTTTTCATTCTAGGTACACTTGCTATATTATGCATCTGAGTGAAATATGTCTAGGGGTTCAGCTCATGTTGTGGAAGTATATGAAAAGCAAACATTGACTCCTAAAGTACATGTTGTCTTTCACATACAGATTTATTTGAAAAGATTCCAATTTAGGAATGCAAAAACTTCAGATTTTTGGGAAGCACTTAAAGAGGTAAGGAAGAGTATATCTCCAAATATTTGTTTCATTACCAAATGATTTATCAATTATTTATTTATCTGATTATTTATCTTTTTATTTCCCCTTGTTTGTTAATTATTCTCCATGTTTTTTAAACCTCAGGCAAGTAATCTACCCGTGTCAGAAGTAATGGACACCTGGACCAAGCAGATGGGTTATCCTGTGCTTGACGTGAGAGAGAATAGGAACATCAAGCAGAAACGCTTTCTGTTGGACTCAAGAGCTGACCCTTCTCTGCCACATTCAGATCTTGGGTAAGGCTCTATAATGCATTTCGAGGGAAAAGCAGAAATTTGATGGAAATAATGACCACTTGCTTCGATCTTGCTCTTCAGTGCCTGATTGACGGGTGATCATATAAAAAGCACTGTGTCTTTAGGGAAACAAAGGCATTTGAAATAGCTCCGTGGACTACAGATTCAAAATGCACCCAAGTCCTGTTCTTCCCAGAAACTACTGAATAAAGAAATACAAGTGCTGAGAGAGATAAAGTCATAAAAGTCAAAAAATAAAATAAAGGGAAGAGGCTATGGTACATTAGAATTCTAGAAGAAGAGACGCAGAAGGAGAAATGTGGACAAATACAAACCGAGGAAGGTGCGGCGGAGGAGAGGGGACTCGCAGGAGACGTGGAGGCTGGTCTTCCTCAGCCCTAGGCCGGCTCTGGGCGCAGCGTCGCATGGAGAGTGGGGACAGGACTGAGAAGTGAGGCTGAACAGAGGCAATTAATTCGAAGGTAACTCAGGACACTGTGCCATCAGACCTCCCCCTTCCTTCCCTTCATCGACTGCCGTCCTTTCCTCTGTACAGAGCTCTCAGAAGTCTGACAACGACCAAAGACAAAAATCCAGAGGGCTTTTTTCTTCCCTAAAGAAATGGTCTAATCGGTGAAGAAGAGCTGAGGATTTCCCTTAGGTAGAGATGTAAAGCTCCCCTCGTTATGGCATTTGCAGGATGGATGGGAGCAGCTACCAGCTCCCCTTGTTCGTGCACAGAGCTCCCAGCCAGACTTCCTGTTCAGTGGAGAAGACTGTTTCAGAAATAGAACTCCCTTCTCAACAGTAGGGGGGTTACCTACAAAAGACCAAGAATAATGAATTTAGTCCTTCTTTCCTAAATATGAATGGACCATATATATATATATAATCTAAAAGCATAAAAGGTAAAATCTCACGTGAACAAACAAAACACCTCTCTCTTTAAGAAACATAACTGAAGAAACAAAATAAATGTATGGAATAGAGTGAAAGATCAAAGAAACTATTATACCCGTTAACTAAGAGCAGAATGTCTTTGAAATGACAAACTGAGAACACAAAAGATATCTGGAACATTAAATTTTGGTTGTAAAAAATGAATAGACCAACTAGTAATAAATCGGGGGAATTCTCTGAAAATATAAAGCAAAGATAACAAGACAACTTGAGGGGCAAATTATATCAAAGAAATAATAAAAGACACAAGGATTCTGATGAAAAGGCCCCATTGAATACACATGTTTTTCTATTGAGTACACACATATGTAGCTACATCTTCACAGAATTTCAGAAAACCAAGACACATGAGTTAGTGTGGTATTAGTCTTCTTCACAGCAACCCTGAACGCAAGAAGAAAATGAAGCAATCATCTAAAATGGTGAAGCAAACAATGTTTTCGACCTCTAATTCTCTACCCAGTAAAACGAAATGAAATGCAAAAAAGCACAGTAAAGACATTTTCAGACACGCAATCCCAGAAAGTGCTTTCCACACAGCACTTCTTAGAAAGTTACTAAGTCTGCACTCCAAGGGGTTTGGAGGAGAGAGAGAAAATGTGAAAACATCAGTAAAAGAGGAAGAGAGGGGATCTAGCAAACAGGGCATCTAGCGCCCGGAAACTTCAGACAGTCTGCTCTCCCAGAATAAAGGAAATTCGGAGAAATGGAGTATCTTAGTATAATCCAAGTTCTGGAAATGAATAGTTTTCGCCAAAACAGGAGAATTTGAGTTCCTAGACTGAATGAGATCAGTCAGGGTGTGTCTGTATATACTTCTTTATCTTTTGTTTGTTTTGGAAAGCAAAACTACAATGGAAAAAACGTCTTCCTCCCCCCCCCACTCTTTTCTTCTCTGAATATATGAATGGATTGAAACATAGAGGTGACTTTTATCAGGTGATAATTCAATGACAAAAACCATCATCATAAAGTCTATGATTGTCCTGTTAACTATAAACTATTTATTTTATAGTTACTGTTTCATACTCTCGCAAATTAGATTGGCCGTATTTAGAACTGCTATTTAACAGGTTTTGGATATTAAAATGTAAAAAATATTTCTCTCTTGAGAGACCAACTTCCAACGGGAGAGCGTCACAGTAATTGCTTCCTTCTGTCACATATGCCCACTGATTCCCTGAGCCCAAGACATGTTAACATTATTTTTGAACTGGGAGAATTGGATTTTTAAAAACTGCTCCTTAGTTATGGATTTCTCTCCACACAAACAAAAATCAAATTTATTTCCAAGTGAACTAAATATATCATCAGGTCTAAAATTACTTCTTAAGTCATAATAAATCTTTATTTATTTTTTTGTTCAGATAGAGTGGGAAGGAGAGAGAGGAAGAGAAAGAGAGAGAGAAACATCGACGTGAAAGGGACACATCGAGTGGTTGCCACCCACATGACCCAACCAGGGCTGGGGACAAACTGCAATCGAGGTACATGTCCTTAGCGGGAACCAAACCCGGGTCACTCTGGACTGCAGGCTGACGCTCTACCGCTGAGCCAAACCAGCCAGGGCGTCATAATAAATCTTTAAATTGGAACTATAGTATCATTTTACACTTTTCTTTAATATTTTCTTTAGTTTCTACCTTCAGATGCTGTTTTTATTTTATTTGGGTTCATAGATGCATAATTTTTAGTGACCGTTAATCATAAAGTCAATTCACTTGTTCCATTTTTTTTAAAAAGCATAAGTTATATATACATAGAAAAATAAACCTAGAAAACAGATCTGTCCTTGCTGAGAACATTTGTTAAAAATTGGTTGTAGCCCTGGCCGGTTTGGCTCAGCTGTTAAAGTGTCGGCCTGTGGTCCAGAGAGTCCAGGGTTTGGTTCCCGCTAAGGGCACATACCTCGGTTGCAGTTCGTCCCCAGCCCTGGTTGAGGTTGTATGGGTGGCAATCAGTCGATATGTCTCTCTCACACTGATGTTTTTTTTCTCTTTCTTTCTTCCTCTCTCCCTCCTGCTCTACCTAAAGATAAATGCAAAAAATGTCCTTGGGTGAGGATAAAAAAAAAAAATGGTAGTATCTCCTGAGCAAATAAGTGAGAAAAAAACATAACAAAAGTCACTCATTCTTATTTTTCACTTGATTGAAAACTTAGATTGTAATATATTCTTTTGTGCCCCCAGAAAGTAATGAATTCTTTCTCCAACCCTAGTGTCTATCTGCTCTCTCAGTTCAGTTATAATCCTGTCTGGTAGACAATGTTGTCAGTTAAGTTGTATACACACTCCCTTTTCTCGCTGCTTAAAAATATCCTAAGATTAGGGAATCCTTACTGACCAGAAACATTTTATAATCCAAATGGCCCACACATGTATAAATTATGGTTTTAGCACTATGGCCTCAACCATCTCTTAGAAATAGGCCAGTTTCACGTCTCCACTGGGGAAATCCTCTGTTGGGCAAGCTCATGTCTCCAACAGTCCACTCAATGTGGAAGGTTGGGAGTAGATGTGCTATTTTGGGCCAAAGTCAGTCTCCTTAGTGAAAATTAAACTGGCTGTATTTAATTCTGCTAGAGCCTTTTATATTATTGGATATAAAGACAAAAGTGAATTATACTTTGAAAAATGAAATCTGATACTTCTGAATTTTAGATAACATATAGGAGACTCTATTATTTCAGTTTTGTAATTTCCATCACTTGACATTTTGTAAGCTCTAGTCTATTATTTTACCCAGCTTCAATTAGATTAGATCCTGTAAGTGATTCTAAAACTATAAAATTGTACAGTTAGTTTCCTTAGTGAAAATTAATCCTTTTAGTCTTAATGATACTCTAACAGAACTCAGAACAATATTTTTAACATGACCGTAGTAGTGTAACTTATGCCCACTTTTAGGCACAGTGGCGTTCCAGACACCATGTTTTAGAGGAGTGCTTGAAATGTGAAATCCTGGGTGTGTGCATGGGGCATCCGGACACCGAACGCTCTGTTGTTTCAGTCAGCTCAGCATCAGGGAAAGGCAAGGAGGAATGCAATGTTAGTAGTTTACATGTAGCGCCAGATCGGCAGAGCAGTTGAAGAGTGAAATGTGTGGGTAGGATGTGACTTTAAAAAATGCTTCTTTGTCTGTTGAGAAACTACAAGGGATCCTCTTAGGTTGGCTTCCATAAAAGCAGACCCTGAGGTGTTCATTCGAGTGAAAGTCATTCATTAGGAAGTGTTTCTAGGAAAGACTGGTAGGGGACTGGGAAGTGGGAAATCACACAGAAAAAGGTACAATATCAAGCAGGTCTTGCAGAAGACAGTGTCTGGAGACAGTGCTTCAGAGCGGTCCTAACAGATGAGGCATGGAGGAGTTTCATGCCCGTCCATCATTGGCTAAGGGCTGCATCCAAGAATGTAAATTCCTTGCTCAGGCAGCCAGAGGGCAGTACTCTGACAGCCAGACCCAGGTGCTGGCTGTTGGTAGGGAAAGCATGGTGAAATCTGGGGTGTACAAAAATGACAGAGACTCAAGGAGGGAAGGGAGGAGCATGACGACGTCTGTTGTAGGACCTCAGAAACAATTTATATATTGGTTCTATGAAACTTATAACCAAAAACATTCCACTGCAATAAAATCGTCCAGGAAAGAGCTAGTAAAAACTCAATCCTACAAAACATTTCAATACTTATGAAACAAAGGATAATTTCTTTCATGAAGATGGTGATATATATTCTCCCTGAATTACATGAATTTTATTATATATTGAAAACAGGAAATATCATTCCTTTATTCTCTATTAGGGGCTTGAGCAAATGAAGAAAAACAAGGGCAACTTTGAGTTGAAACCTAAACACAGACTCTTCTCCCTAGATTTCCTATATTTTCTGGCTGATAAATGATATGAGAACAAACAATCAAAAAGATATTTAAGACCTCTTTTGTTTTGCTTTTTATTTATTTTATTTTTTAATTACAGTTAACACTGAATATTATTCTGTGTTAGGCTCAGATGTACAGCAAAGTGGTTAGACAATCATGTACTTTACAGAGTGTGCCCCGCCCCCCGCTTCAAGTAACCACTTGGCCCCATACATAGTTATCACGATATTATTGACTATATTCCCTGTGCTGTGATCTACATCTCTGTGACCATTCTGTGACTACCAGTGTGTACTGCTTAATCCCTTCACCTTTTTCACTCAGCCCCCGAAACTCCTCCCTTTGGCAACTGTCAGTCTGTTTTCTGTATCTATGAGTTTGTTTCTGTTTTGTTTGTTCAGTTGTTATTTAATCCACTCATCTGGGCTGCTTCCCAATCTTGGCTATTGTAAATAACACTGCAGTGAACATAGTGGTATGTATAGTCTTTCGAATTAGTGTTTCAGGCTTCGTTGGATATATTCCCAGAAGTGTAATTGCTGGATCACAAAGCAGTTCAATTTTTAATTTTTCGAGGAAACTCCATACTGCTTTCCACAGTGGCTGCACCAATCTGCATTCCCACCAACAGTACATGAGGGTTCCCTTTTCTCCACATCCTCACCACCATTTGTTGTTTATTGATTTATTGATAATAGACATTCTGACAGGTATGAGGTGATATCTCATTGTGGTTTTAATGTGCATTCCTCTGATGACTAGTGGCATTGAGCATCTTTTCATATGCCTATTGGCTATCTGTATGTCCTCTTTTGAGAAGTGTCTATTCAGGTCTTTTGCCCATTTTTAAGTAACGTTGTTTTTTAGAGCATTAGAAATTTAAAGAGATGATTGGTGGTGGTGTAATTTCAATGTAGTTTCTAAAATGTGTTATTTCTTTCACAGTATTTTAAGTTTGTTTTCTGAATTCTAAAAATGCTTGTGTTCCTTGACAAAAGCTATAGCATATTAGAATAGGTGCAAGTATATATGAACATGCAATATTATTATATGTTGTGTTATATTTATGTAATATCTTTGTTCCAAGCCTCAAGGCATTTTATTGAAATAATCTTTATTTTCAGCTATTTTTTTAATCCAAAGTTCCAAATTTTAGAGATTTGTATAAATTAAAGCAATTATGTGGCCTATCCCATTACTGGAGTGTTGTATTCATTGTATTAATTGTATTCTGTACATTGGATGATCACTGATAAGGAAAATATGCTTGTCTACTGCTTTTTAACTATGTTAACTTTGGATATGTTTTTATTTTTTTAATAATAAAAGTTAAATTTTTCTTTTAAAACCTTTAGTTACACATGGAATATTCCAGTTAAATGGACTGAAGAGAATGTGTCAAGTATTACATTCTACAATAGATCAGAAACAGGAGGTAAATATCAATTGATTTATTTCTTCTTTGGATTAATATGGCACACTAAACTAATATAAATGCAAAAAATAACAGTAAAACTAGAACTTATGATACAAAGTTCAGCTAAAAGGGATCTCTTAAATTATTTATTGATGAGTGCATGTCCGTATCTACAACAATTAGAACTTTTCTTTTTAATGATTTATCATGACTGACACAATAATAAATATCCATATCCCACACACTCAACAACTGGAAGATCAGTCTATACATTTTCTCCCTCCCTTTCTTCCTTCTTTCTTTTTTTCTTCTTCTTTAAAAATATATCAGATTAGCCCTGGCTGGTTTGTCTCAGCAGTTAGAGCATTGGCCTGAGGACCAGAGAGACCCAGGTTCGGTTCCCACTAAGGGCATGTACCTTGGTTGCAGTTCGTCCCCAGCCCCGGTTGAGGTTGTGTGGGTGGCAACCAGTCAATGTGTCTCTCTCACATCGATCTTTCGCTTTCTCTCTCTTCCTCCCTCTCTCCCTCCAGCTCTATATGAAGATCAATGCAAAAATGTCCTCGGATGAGGAGATATATATATATATATATGTATGTATATATATCAAATTAGTAAGCCAATGAATTTCTTCTTTTTGTTTGTTTTTGTTACAGATGTTTTTCATTTTTCCCCATTGACACCCTCCTCCCCTTCCACCCCACCCCATCATCAGCTTTGTTGTCTATGTTCATTGTTCATGCATACATGCATGTAAGTTCTGTGGTTTATCTCTCTTCCCCCAACCCCCCTCCTCTGAGGCTTGTCAGTCTGTACCCCACCTCTATGTCTCTTGGTTAATTTTGTTCAGCAGTTTGTTTAGTTCATTATATTCCAAAAGTAAGTGAGATCATGTGATATTTGTCTTTCTCTGCTTGTCTTGTTCCGCTTAGCATAATACTCTCCAGGTCCTTCCATGCCATCTCAGAGGATGAGAGATCTTTCTTTCCCACAGCTGCATAGTATTCCATTGTGTACATGTACTACAGCTTTTTAGTCCACTCATCTACTGATGGACACTTGGGCTGTTTCCAGATCTTAGCTATTGTAAATAGTGCTGTTACGAACATAGGGGTACATATATTCTTTCTGATTGGTGTTTCAGGCTTCTTAGGGTATATTCCTAGAAGTGGGATCACTGGGTCAAATGGAAGTTCAATTTTTAACTTTTTGAGGTAACACCATAGTGTTTTCCATAATGGCTGCACCGGTATGCATTCCCACCAGCAGTGTACTAGAGTCCCCTTTTCTCCACACCCTTGCCAACACTTGCTTGATGATTTGTTGATGGTGGCCATTCTGACAGGTGTGAGGTCATACATCATAGTTGTTTTAATTTGCATTTCTCTGATGATTTGTGACATTGAACATTTCTTCATATGTCTCTTGGCCATTTGTATGTCCTTTTGGGAGAGGTGTCTATTTAGGTCCTCTGCCCATTTTTTAATTGGGTTATTTGTCTTCCTTTTGTTGAGTTGTATGAGCACTCTATATATTTTGGAAATTAACCCCTTATCTGATGCATCATTAGCGATCATGGTCTCCCATATAGTGGGATCCCTTTCCATTTTCATGATTGTTTCTTTTGCTGTGCAGAAGCTTTTGAGTTTGATGTAGTCCCATGTATCCATTTTTTCCTTTGTTTCTCTTGCCTTAGGTGTTGTATCAGTGAAAATTCTGCTGCATGTGATGTCTGAGATTTTGTTGCCAGCATTTTCTTCTAGAATTTTTATGGATTCATGAATTACACTTAAGTCTTTTATTTATTTTGAGTTTATTCTTGTGTATGGTGTAAGTTGGTGTAGCTTCACTTTTATTTTGCAGGTAGCTGTCCAATTTTCCCAACACCATTTATTGAAGTGACTGTCTTGACTCCACTGTATGCTCTTGCCACCTTTGTAAAATATTAATTGAGCATATTGTCTTGGGTCAATTTTTGAGTTCTCTATTCTGTTCCATTGATCTATCTGCCTGTTCTTGTGCCAGTACCAGGATAATTTGATTACAGTGGCTTCGTAGTACAACCTGAAATCTGGTAATGTGATCCCTTTTACTTTGTTCTTCTTTTTCAAGATTGCTGTGGCTATTCGAGATCTTTTTTGGTTCCATGTAAATTTTGGGAATGTTTGTTCTAGTTCTGTGAAGTATGTTGTTGGTATTTTAATGGGGATTGCATTGAATCTATAGATTGCTTTGGGTAGTATGGACATTTTAATGATGTTAATTCTTCCAATCCATGAACAAGGTATATGCTTCTAATTTTTTATATCTTCCTCTATTTCTCTCTCTCTCTCTCTCTCTTTTTTTTTTTTTTTTGATATCCTGTAGTTTTCTGTGAAGAAGTCCTTTACTTCTTTGGTTAAGTTTATTCCTAGTATTTTAATTTTATTGCTATGATGGTAAATGGGATTTTTTTTTTTTTTAGTTGCCCTTTCTGTGAGTTCATCATTGGTGTATAAGAATGCTGTTGATTTCTTGACGTTAACTTTGTATCCTGCTACTTTGCCAAATTCATTTATTAAGTCTAGTAGATTTTTGATGGAGTCTTTAGGGTTTTCCATGTGCAATATCATGTCTTCTGCAAATAATAACAGTTTCACTTCCTCCTTTCCCATTTGGATCCCTTTTATTTTTTCTTCATGTCTAATCGCTGTAGATAAGACTTTCAGTAATATGTTAAAAAAGAATGGCAAACGTGGGCATCCCTGTCTTGTTCCCGTTCTTAAGAGGAAAGCTTTTAGTTTTTGCCCACTGAGTATGACGTTGGCTGTAGGCTTTTTATATATGGCGTTTATTATGTTGAGATATAATCCCTCTATTCCCATTTTGCTGAGTGTTTTTATCAGAAATGGGTGCTGGATTTTGTTGAATGCTTTTTCAGTATCTATTGATATGATCATATGGTTTTTATCTTTTCTTTTGTTTATGTGGTGTATCACATTTATTGATTTGTGAATATTGTACCATCCTTGAATGCCTGGGATAAAACCCACTTGGTCATGATGCATAATTTTTTTTGATGTATTGCTGGATCCGATTTGCTAATATTTTGTTAAGGATTTTGGCATCTGTGTTCATCAGGGATATTGGCCTGTAGTTTTCTTTCTTTGTAGTGTCTTTATCTGGTTTTGGAATTAGGATTATGCTGGCCTCATAAAATGAGTTTGAAAGTATTCCATCTTCTTGGATTTTTTTGAATAGTTTGAGGAGAATGGGTATTAGATCTTTGAATGTTCGGTAGAACTCCCCTGTGATGCTATCTGAGCCTGGGCTTTTGTTTGCTGGGAGTTTTTCTTGATTTCATCTTCAATTTTCTTTGTTGTTATTGGTCTGTTCAAGTTTTCTATCTATTCTTTGTTCAGTTTTGGGAGGCTGTGTGTTTTTAGAAATTTGTCCATTTCTCCTAGATTGTCCAATTTGTTGGTGTATAATTGTTCATAGTATGTTTTGATAATCCTTTGTATTTCTGTGGTGTCGGTTGTTACTTCTCTTTTATTTCTGATTTTGTTTATTTGGTTTCTCTCTTTTTGTTTCTTGATGAGTCTGGCTAAAGGTCCATTGATCTTGTTTTCTTTTCCAAGAACCAGCTTTTTTGTTTCATTGATGTTTTGAATTGATTTTTTTTTTTTTTTGGTCTCTATGTCATTTATTTCTGTTCTGACCTTTTCTATTTCCTTCCTTCTACTAACTCTGGGTTTTTCTTTATGTATACTTTCTAGTTCTTTAAGTTGTAGAATTAGAAAGTCAATTAGGAATTTTTCTTGTTTCTTGAGGTAGGCCTATAGTGCTATGAAGTTCCCTCTCAGGACTGCTTTTGCTGTGTCCCATGGATTTTGAGTTTTTGTTTTCATTGGTTTTCAGGAAGTTTTAAATTTCTTCCTTGATCTCCTTAGTAACCCATTTGTTGTTTAATAACGTCCTATTTAGCCTCCAAGTATTTGAATGTTTTAGTGTTTTTATTGTAATTGAGTTCTAGTTTCATGCCACTGTGATCTGAGAAGATGCTTGATATGATTTCTGTTTTCTTGAATTTGTAGAGACTTGCTTTGTGTCCTAACATGTGGTCTATCTTTGAGGATGACCCATGTGCACTTGAGAAGAATGTATATTTCGCAGCTTTGGGGTGAAATGTTCTGTAAATATCAATGAAGTCCAACTGATCTAGTTTGTTTGGTAAGGACTCTATGTCCTTGTTAATTTTTTGTCTAGAAGATCTATCCAGTGGTGTCAATGGCGTGTTAAAGTCACCCACTATGATCGTGTTGCTATTGATCTCTCCCTTGAAGTTCTCCAGAAGTTTTTAAATATATTTTGGTGCTCCTGTATTTGGGGTGTATATGTTTACTAGGGTTATATCCTCTTGTTGGATTGATCCTTTTAATATTATGTAGTGACCTTCTCAGTCTCTTATTATGGCCCTTGTTTTGAAGTCTATCTTGTCAGATATGAGTATTGCTACACCAGTTTTTTTTCCATCTTTTCTCTTTCATCCTGTGTGAGTGTGGGTCTCTTGTAAACAGCATATATATGGGTCAAGTTTTCTTATCCAATTGGCTACCCTATGTCTTTTGATTGGAGCATTTAAGCCATTTACATTTAAGGTAATTATTGATAGATATTAGTTGCCATTTTAATTTTATGTCTGTGTTCCTCTCTCTCTCTCTCTCTCTCTCTCTCTCTCTCTCTCTCTTTCTTCTTATTCTTACAACAGTACCTTCAGCATTTCTTGCAGTGCTGGTTTGGTAGTGGTAAATTCCTTTAGCTTTTTTTTATCCGTGAAACTCTTTATTTCTCCTTCAATTTTGAATGATAGCCCTGCTGGATAGAGTAGTCTTGGATTCAGACCCTTGCCTTGCATTACTTTGTACACTTCATGCCACTCCCTACTGGCCTGCAGGGTTTCTATTGAGAAATTAGCTGACAGTCTAATGGGAGCTCCTTTGTAGGTAACTTTCTGTCTCTCTCTCTTGCTTCCTTCA